GCGGAGCGCAGGGGCCTCCAAAGGTGTCCGCCCATTTGAACCGATGGCACCCAGTCTCTGTCAAAGGCCTTTATGTTTGACCGTCTATCTTGCTAACTGTGACAGAACAGCCCAACATCATTAATTAAACATCAGCCTTTCCCACAATCACTGGATCGCCATGACAGGCTGCCATGCCAACAGTCCCCGTCGACATGCCTTGGAAATCTAGAAGGGGATTACATATGGTAATGGTTTCTGACAGGCTGCCATTTGCCTCTGTTAATCTGATAGGAGTAGATATCTGGACTGCAGAGCATGGTGTGTTGTAACTCTTTGAGTTTGATATTGTTACGCCGTGAAAAAAACGGAATCATTTTGAAGATGCAAGCAGTGTCCTGGAAGAAATCTTAATCCCCTGACAAGCTTTTGATGGGATCCCAAATATTGTAACTGACTCAAACGTGTATTTTTAGACCTGGATCCTGCTTGTATTTGCTGTCAATTTCAATATTTCTCACATTTATGATCTCCTGTCATGTATAGCGTGATGGTGTGACAATCTTTAACAGACCCTGGTGATAACATTCCTCCAAAGAAGCTGGTTACGATGCTCGCCCCAGGCTGCCAACCCACTTTTGTTTTTCCATTCCCCTTCAGAGAGAAGACTGAGTTTATTCTCAGGTCTTTGTTCAATTAGGAGTCACCCTAAATTCAGAGCTGCTCTAAAACGTTATATCTCTCTTGCTGGTTCAGTTAATAATTGAATACCAACAACTATCTTCATATGCGGCTGTGAGCCAATCTTCTCGAATGACTAATATATGGGCTACAGAAAATGTTACACATGCTGAAAACAAGCATCAAGGGGGGAGAAGAAGGGGGTTTAGGCAAGCTGCTCTCTCCCAAATAGGGACGTAAATCATCTCCGAGCGTCATATTCCGAGCTTATCCTAAAAGAGCAAAAGCTCCCCCCCCCTCAGCTTGCGTGGAAATGAAATAAATATTTCCAGATAAACAAGCAGACAGTTAAACATCCACCTCTCAAAAAGCCAATTGCCCTGTGCTTTTATTAAATATCGATTTGATTTGTAAAAGGCCAGATGCTGCGAGGTTAAATAAATGTCATGTTCTCCCGGTCCAGTTTACTTTTCTTGTCTGCTCAGTCGGAGACATTTTGTCTCGCTGTGTGTACACAGAGCAGGAAAAAAACAAAACAACGACCATCTTGACCCAACATGTCCATCCATCCAGAGATGCATTTACAGGAAGACACACTCGATCCTTTTCATCCTGCATGCCTTACCTTATCAGTAAATTCATCAGCAACCCCAGCCAATTCAAGAGTGTTTCTGTTCGTAATAACTGATGAAATAAAGCAAAGCAATAAAAGCCTGGTGCATGCCTCTTTGTGAGAATTGCTTGTCAACAACAGCAGGAAGGAATAAGGCATCGTCTGACAACAAGCCATCTTTGAAACGCCTCCAAGAGGGAAATGGCATCCATTAGAGACATACAGAAAATGTGTGTTCACCGAGGGAGGGAGGGGGTCCGAATCACACAGACACGCAGACACACAGATAATTGTTTATCCCTGGGAGAACCTTCAGTGTTTGTTTGCGGGTGGCTAAGTAAGTTCAGCAGCACTATTGGACAGGGAGCGCCCGGCAGACCCAAGGCTCGACAAACATTAGGATGAATCAATTAGTCCGCCATTAGCCAATAAAGTGGCCCTCACTGAGTCGTGTAATTATGACCCACAGCAAAGCCGATTTTATGGAGTCACATTATCCCTTTCTTTTCTTTATTAATTTTATTTGTTTGAGATAATCCCCTCCGTGGTTTTAATTATGTGCTTTAGATTCATGGTGGAATAAATAAATCATCATTTGCTTCCATCGTTTCTGAACACTGCTGTTTTCTCCCAATCGCAAGACCGTCTCGGTTATTCCTGTCATGTCTGAAGGGATCACACTGATTATTCCCGTGAATTAAAAATGAATGCAGTCACATCCTTTTTCTGCGAGAGATCCACCTGAACCCCACTCGGAGCAGGTTCCCCCGATTAGATTGTACGATAAGAGATGGCAGGAAGTGCTGATATTATAGGCAGCAGCTACTTAGCTTGTTCCCAGCTCAGAGGACACAGTGTAAGTGTGACAATGTGCTGTCAATGAGGGATGACAGTACACAGCCAACATGGCGTAATGCATTGTTCCTTCCCGGGTCCCTCCTGACAGATGCTCTCCAAGACAGCTGGATCAGCAGCAAGAATGGCACCGGGATCCGGGGCTGAGCCGAGGATGTGATACGCGGCTGATTAGCGAGGGGGATACATGTGTCAACGAGCGTGGCGCAGGGATCATGCCGCACTTCCTGTTATTGTCACTTACGGCGCATTTACCTGTTTATTTTGGAAACCTATAGGACTGTTGAGTGTAGCTATTTGCTTTCCATTTGTCCATGACCTTTTCTTATTCCATCTTTGTAGATAAAAAAGTCAGACTCCTAGATTTTTTTTCCTTTTTCCTTCCAAGAGATCTCCTAAGAAATGACCTTCTCTGCTTGCTGCGAGCCGCTCTTAAGAGACTGATGCTGAAGGTGCTTCAAGCCAAGTAAAATAAACACTCGCCGAATGTTTAAACTGGAACTTGGCTGAATCCAATCGTTTCTGTGGACGCAGGGAATTTTTATGCTCCACTTTGTATTTAAGAGTCTAGACGTTTTATGAGTTCTGGATGAAATTTGGCCACGTTTTTTTTTTTTATTTTTTTTACTGGAGAATCATCTCAGTTATACGCCCCATTCAAATGAGTGCTGGTGCTCTTTTACTTCTTATTTTCAGACATTTTTCCCTTCCCTTTTTTTAAAAAGCCAAATGTAGAAATATAAGTCTTACGGGAGACATTTAGTGAGTCTTGTAAAGTTCAGACCTCGTTTTATACCTTGGAATACGCAATGTAACGTCTTATTGTGTGCTTATCGCTGTATTTTACTTTTTTACCTTTTTGTTCTCTGAGTATCTGCTGCTTTGTCTTCTTTTCCTTCTCAGAATGACTTCCCGAAAAGTTCAGCTCTTTTTCTTCTTTGGGATATTGTGGTGTGCTCTCTCCTTAACACCCACTTACCCCAGCTATTTATGAGGTGGTAACTATAGAGAAAAATGGCCCCTCCATACTGGTGAGCGTTCAGGAGCTGGGAGCGACGGGGGTCTCTGTTGATGTACATTAACTAAAGTGGACAGGCGGGTCTCGAGTTTCTAATGTAGCAGGTTCGCTCGGGTCATAGCTCGGCTGCGAGACGCGGCTGTGTGGAGGTAAGGCGAGTGTGAAGCCATCCGAGCTTTTCCTCTCCAAACCCGTCCATACATTACAGGAGTGATGAAGGAGTCTGGATAATGAGACAGGATGTTTGTACAGTCCTGCCACCCCAAGAGACCCCCCCTCTTCCTCCAATACTCCACCCACACTCAATCTACCCCCCGCTGAGCCTGTGGCCTGAACCCCTGACCTCTTCCACTCGCCAACAGTTGCCATATTTGCATTTCCAGTCCACTTAAGGGCAAGAGGGGATTACTTGGGGAGCCCCCACCGCTTCCTCTGCTAATACAGCAGGCCTCATTCTCATCCCAGTGACCCCCTGCCCAGGCCTACCAACCCGGACAGCAGTCTGGGGTTAATGCACCAAGCACTCCTATTGTCTCTGAATTAATGAAGTGCTCCCCGCCTGTCCCTTCTCATTCAGTGAGAACGAGACAAATGACGAATGGTAACATTTTAAATGGCTATCGACACATGGGGGGGGGGCTAATGTCACAGAGTCACTGCTCCTGTTAGCACTGTGGCCCCCCTGTAAGGAAAACACCGGATGCCGTCGATTCACTTTCGATGTCCACTCTGGGATCAATTTAAAATCCTGGCAGCAGCTCACTCCTCCACACAGGAGAAGGTGTTTTATATTGAAATGGATGTTTTCTCAGATGGAGGAGGAAGAGTCTGAGCCGAGGAGGGTTTGCGCCTCAGAAAATGGAAGGCTGGACTCTGATTAATTTAAGAATGGCAAGGGAGACCTCTAGTGGAGAGCAGAGGTATCCTTATAGATGTGTTTTTTTGTTTCTGAAGAATTTAAAGATTTCCTTTTTAGTTTACCTTTCAGTGTACTGTGCATTTTAATAAGATGTCACGGTAAAAACATATTAAAAAAACGACTCTTACATTGAAAATAACAGAACTAAAGGACATGGAGCTGGAGGAAGAAAGTGAAATATCAGACAAATGCAATAACAAAGTGGTGGGAAAACAATATTTCCCGAGCAAATAAAAATGCTTCTTGTCAATCCAAGCCAAACTTTTATTTGAATAAATGAAAATAACACATTAAAGGCGTCATCTCGTAATTATTTTTCATTTTTTGTTGTTCTAATCAATAAATCAATTAATTACTTGATGAATAAAATAGAGAAAAGTGTGATTTATTTTCTTGTGATTAAGCAGTCAGTTAATACGATTGTATCTGTAATTAAATGAGCTCTGCTGTCAATATTAAAGATCAGAGAGCTGGATAGAGAATAAGTGGTAGATTCCCAGAAAGACAACTAACCTGGAAAAGCTCAAACATGTTTGTGGTTTTGAAATGAATAACTTTAACTTCTTCCAATCGTTGTAAACAAACTTGTGGTTAAAATCTGCCTCTAAGTGTTTTTAGTATTCCAGTGAAATTTCAGGTGCTTTTCAACAAGGACAAACACATCAGTCTTAGTCCCTGCTCTGACCTTTGAGGATTCAGATATCTCCTTTATTTAAGCAGAAGACTGCCCCCCACACTTTACACACACACACATACACACATCTTTGCTCCAGCATGCTGCATAAGTCACACCGAGCTGGTGGATAAGTGGGTGCAGCTCAGCAGTGTCAGCCGTGCAGTCAGGCTCCTCCACGGCTGACAGCTTGTTACGGTGCATCATGCCGCTGTAGGTGTGACCTTTATGACTGACCTCTGACCTCCTCCTGTCATTGCAGTGCTGAGTATCCGCGGCGCCCAGGAGGAGGAGCCCCCGGATCCACAGCTCATGCGCCTGGATAACATGCTGCTGGCGGAGGGAGTATCCGGTCCGGAGAAAGGTGGAGGCTCGGCGGCTGCGGCGGCTGCAGCGGCGGCCTCGGGAGGCGCAGGGCCGGACAACTCGGCAGAGCACTCTGACTACAGAGCCAAACTGACCCAGATCAGACAGATCTACCACACAGAGCTGGAGAAGTACGAACAGGTGAGAACAGCTGAACTGGTGTTACATCTTAAAGGACTTATATGAAGCCCTGATTGATCCAGATGGTGAGGTTATGATAGCTACATTAGTGGAATTAGTAATCTTAATTAATTAATCATAAACATCATATTCACTGGTTTCAATCCCTTCCAATCCCTGAATGGTATCCACTCTGAAAATCAGATGCTGTCAGTGGCTGAGGGAAACACCAGTTCCCCGCCAAAAAACATCCATTGTCCACTAAAACAAAGCAAAACATGGAAATCCAGTAAGAGGACAAGGTCTCTGCAGACACAGTCACCACCACACATGTATGGAGGCCCAGAAGTGACGATTGAGCATCATTACTTTTATATAAGTCAATCATTTATTTTTAGGAAAAAGCTGCCGAGTCTATCTTTAAAGTATAAGTGAAAGCTGTAACACTGATTACAGATGTTGTCCCAACAGATGTTGTCCCAACACAATTTTAGACTTTTGTCCTGCAATTAAAGCATTAAGTGTATAAAATGTTCTCCTCAGAATACAACAAAAATATTGACTAAATACCGTCTGCAGACTTCATTAAAAATGATAATGCAGCAGAGGCTGAAACATCCTGACATTTAATCCTGTCTGTGGATTATCATCCAACAATGCTGCAGCCAACATTTACATAATGCAACGTTTCGTTAGACGTTGAATTTCCAATGATTTTGTACAAAACCCCAGGTTTGAAATAAATTATTATGTTATAAAATATCAAAAACGGCATCAAAACTTGAAAAAAGGAGGAGGAGCCTGGGGCAAAATGTTTATAATGGAGGTCTCTTGTCTAGTTGGTATCTGTTCTGAGGTCCTTGACGTGAAAAGATGAGAATCACAGAGCTAATCAATTAATCAACTAATTGTTTCAGCTCTTCTAGGGTTACTGTCTAACTGATAAAAACCTTTTCTGCAATGATGATGAATAAACAACATTTAGTGCAGGGCGAGGTAACAATACAAACAGTAGGACTTTACTGTTAAACCGTTTGTGTTAGAGAACGAAACATTTAGACCAAGAGAGTCACAAACCAAAACAACAATTTAAATAACACTTCATACCATTCGCCAATCAGCTGATATGAAAGTAAGGAAGGAAAAACAAGATAGACGTATGAGATGTTTCCTTCTGAGGATTTGTTGCATTTTTCTTTTTGGACTTTGATCGAAAAGTTAATATTTTACTGTTAGGACAGAGCAAGACAGTCAATGATGTCACTTTAGCCTTTTGTGATATGTCATTTTCTCTCTTTCAGTGTTAAAACCAAAGTATCTGTATTTCTGTGCTCCATATCCACCTTCTAGTACACATCCAAAAGACACAATCGTACCACAAGGTATCAGGTGGCGCGCCTGGTACACTAAAATATTTCCTCAATGTACATCACTGTCAGTAAGCATTCACTTTAGAGTGTGTTTGTACCCCAGAATAGTCCAGCATATGCAGCCTGTTGTGTGTCTCGGTGTGTATTCCAAGGATAGTCTTGAAAGTCTGTCGGATGGGGGGGGATGATTTCCTCTCATTGCCTTGATAACCAATGCATTGCCGACAATAGCATCCCGCTCAGATGAATGTGAGTGAGACAGATGAACACGCAGATAGACAGACACAGACAAAGCCTGACACGGCTAAATCCAGAGAGAGATCGACAGGAGGAGAGGAAATAAAGAAGAGGAGACAGTAAGAGACACAGAGTCGGAGTGTAATATCGTGGCAGATTCACGCCTGGTGTCACACGGGGGGTGGGGGGGGTGGGGGGGGGAATGAATGAAACGTTGTGGCGTGTTCGTCTCTCAGGGTGGCTATGTTGTAAAAAGTGTGCGTCTGCGAGTGGAACAGCTGTCATTGGTTCCTCTCAACACGCTGCCATCACCACTTGTGTTAAATATGAAATATATCAGCGCTTATATTCCCCCTTGGCTCCGTGAGAACGCTTGGCCCAGAACTACATTAAGCAAAGAGCTCTTTTTTCTGTTTTTTTAGTTTTTGTTTTTTTAGATTTCTGTCATCTGTGAATTTTAAATACCGTACGCCGTGAGTGTTTGGATGTGTATTTCTGCGGTGCTACATTTTCTGTAGCCACATTGACAAATTAAACTCATATTCACACTTTGTATGACCTTAAGCAAGGATTTTTTTTTATTATTATTATTATTTTTTATGTACTCCTTTGTTTGTTTCCTCCTTACAGGCGTGCAACGAGTTTACCACCCACGTGATGAACCTTCTGCGAGAGCAGTCACGCACACGGCCAATTTCGCCCAAAGAGATCGAGCGCATGGTGAACATCATCCACCGCAAGTTCAGCTCCATCCAGATGCAGCTCAAGCAGAGCACCTGCGAGGCCGTCATGATCCTGCGCTCCCGTTTCCTCGATGCCAGGTGTGTGTCCTTGTGCATACACATAACCATTCTGCAAATCGTACACACCCACCACGCTCCGCGCTGCAAATAACCTCCCAATTTGACAACACTGCAAATCATCGAGCACCTTCCCTCGCAGCCTGATATCCATATGAATGGCGGATGTAGGAGGCCTATCATGCTATAAACATGCTGTAACACATGCTGCTTACCACACACACTGGGCTGGTTTACATCCATGGATGCCATTTGGACCGGAATAACCGCCAACACCGGCCAATAAGAGTTCCCTGCCTGCTCCATAACACTAACTATTTCCCTTTTTTAATGTAATCGCTTGTTCCTTTTGATGCGCGCTCAGGATTTGCATACATTTCTCAGAGGATAAATGTCGCTCAAAGTCAGAGTTGGAGGCAAAACATTTAAATGAGGCATGGGCTCCCTTACAAAGCCCCCTATCTATTCTCTTGCAAATGATTGTGGTGGAGCAGCAGCAGCAGCGTGGAGGGGAAGGGGAGAGGAAGAGGAAAAGCTTTCACTGGTTGAGAGGCACTGCCATGTTTGGCTCGGCTGATTAATCTACTGGCTGCTGACGCCCATGCTGTGCACATTTACATATTCTCAAGCAGGCTTTTGGAGTGCGGGACGGAGATTTTAGCACAAATCTCCTCACCGGTGGATGCATTGCATGGAGATTTTACAGGGTACCCCTCCAGCTTATGTAAAGCCCTCTTTAGATGTGGCACATGCAGACATGACCTGATAGGTGCAGGAGATAAAGGGTCAGGCAACTCGAGGGCACCAGCATATGACATCTGTCTGTGTTATTGTGTTGTGTGGAGGGAAAGGGGGGCAGCGCGTTCTCAGAGTATATTTCTATGTTGAAAGTAATACATCAAAAATGTATGTCAGTGTTTCATGTTTGATAAATATAGTGCTAACTTTTACACTCAGTAACTCTGTGTTGGAGTGAAATTCTAAATCAAACGAGTGCTTGAAAAGGCTGCATATGATTGGCTCAAACATTTTAATGCATGGCCCCTTGAAAAAAAGAAGTTGTTGTTATATAGTTTAAATGTTTACAGAAACTGAGTTTGAATGCATGGTATGTTTACATGTTTTTTCTTACTTATTGGCAGGTAATCATTTAGAATATGTTAATGGCACATTTTCGACTGACAATGCTGATAAGATACACGACTGCACGACAGCACAACACAACAAACAAGTTACCCTCACTTACCAGGATCATTTATAGTGTGTCCAATGAATGTTGTACTTTCACCATGTTGCAAGAAAAACCCATTTTAGATTAATGCAAATATTTAAATAAATAACTGTTGTGCCTCGATACCAAGAAGCAGCTCAAGCTGTTTTAATTATTTCCACAATTAAAAAACTCAGTCTTTGACCAGTTAAGTCTTTTTTCCCCAATAAATCTAATTTCCTGATTGGCACAGACTTCTATGTGCCTGTTTTTTTTTTTTTTTAACTCACACACAAAAAGTGTTTTGCTTTAGTGTATTTTGAGTAGATTATAACGGCCCTCTATGTGCTATTATTGCTCCTGCTAATTCTATTTTCAGTTGCTCGTAAACAGAGCTGCAGTGAGCAGTTCTGAGCCAAATGGTTCCCCTGAGTGCTGACAAAGTGTCTCAATGTGAAAATTACAGCTGAATTTAAAGTTTCTTGTGCGCCAGAGGTTTTTCTTAAAGCCAGTGATGTGAATCAGGTTGACTCAAGAACGCTTAGGAAAACCAGTATACTCTCAAGCGTACATCCAACATGTTCAACCTTTTCTTCAACATAGAAAAAAACATGGTTCAATCAAACTTAATAGCTGCAAACTAGAGGGTCTGACTGAATTATGTCCAGACATGTGTATGTTAATGAAAAATTAGATAAGTCCAGTGACTGCGCAGGATGTGACTGAGTTAGAAGAAGCCCCCACTCTAAACCAGAAATGATTAAAGTTCCTCTTAAGTTTTTGAAGTTCAGTTCAGTTTTGAAACCAGAATCTGATGGATTAAAGTCAATGCGAGTTTTTCTGAAATTATATCTTCGGTGACTCCTGGTGAGAGCCCGCCTGATGTGTAGTGAGGACAACAGTATGAGCTGAAATGGGCTTAACACAGATTTATATTCTCATCACTGTTTGCAGAATACATAGAAAGCATCACTGCTGATCCAACAGGGAGGCACAGTAATGTTTAACGTTCTCAAAGAAACTGTTTTTTTAGATGCAGGATTTGAGGATCTTTGCATATTCGTATAGGTGCAGTATTTATTTCAATCCAGCTAATAAACAAACACTATAGCAGCTGCCATATCTGTCTTGGTCATAAAAGTATCTAAAAGGACGCTTGGTTTGGCAGAAATTCACACCTAAATTCACTATTTTTATATTTATTTTTAATTTGGATTTTACAGGGCCAGTGCATAGTAATCAACATTCCTGTATGCCAGAGTTAGCTAAAAGGCTAGTTTCCATCTGTAGTCCCTGGGTTAGGGTTTCCTGGCCAGATTTTAGAGTAGCTCCCTAAAATAAGCAAAAATAAAACAAGGAAGGGGAAAAGACAGTACTTAGGGCGCATGCAACACCTTAAGATGACACATGAATGACATATGTTGCTAAGTTTGATATATTGTTGTCTAAACCTCATTTGCTCTCTCTGCAGACGGAAAAGACGAAACTTCAACAAGCAGGCAACAGAAATCCTGAACGAGTATTTCTACTCGCACCTCAGTAACCCGTACCCCAGCGAGGAGGCTAAAGAAGAGCTGGCTAAAAAGTGTGCCATCACAGTTGCCCAGGTACACCACAGATCAGTGCCACCCACACCACAGCATCTGCAGGAAAACAGCTCTGCATAGAACAGTGACAGAAACACGCTTTTTCTTTTCTGAAGAAGCTGCGAGTGTCTTGGCAAGTAACCTAATAATAAGTTTCCTGACTGTCATGAGTACAGACAGCTCCTGTGATCTTTCAGAAGTACCTTTCAGGGAGACAACAAAGGTACTCAAAGTATAAATATGCCATGTCATAAGTTTGTCATCTAGTAATTCAAACCAGACAAAGCTATTTTGGACCAGTGACTCTTTGTCTCTATTGAAGTAACACAAGCTAAAGACAACACACTGCTGTCATAGTTCCTCACTCATCATATGGTGGAACAAATTGTCTCGTAAAACTCAGATATGATTCAGTAAGAGTCTGTGAACCAAGAACTGTCATAATGGATGAAAATCACTTCTGTTGCACAACTTTATAATACTTTTTTGTCACTATAAATTCACATTTATTGGCTACAAACCATCTTAAAAATGGTAAAATTGCAAACTGATTCATAAGAAAGATCAACAGGATAATTTATTGTAAAAATAACATTTTCAGCCCTACAGTGTTTGGAAGTAATTAGAAGGACCATTAGCCTTTGAAAATTAGCACCGCAGTGCTCTCTCGTGATGTATGAGAAAAACGTACCAAACATCTGAATACATTTGAGATGTTTGTGCCAATAATGCTGACAAACATAAAGTAGCAAATTAAAGTATTAATTATTTTTATATTTATCAAGTATTTAGGCGACCTGTTTTTTTTTTTTCATCTTTGCATTCTAGCGTTCAAGTTGTTTCAATCCAGTGAGAATTGATAATAAGGAAAGCAATGACAACGCCAAGGTAAACAGCAGTTTGTGTTTGGGATCCATCATTTGGGAATGGATTGTTTTCTCAATTGGTTTCATTAATTTATACCAAGTGACTTGAGGATGCATCTGGGTCTGATTGTGGGAGCTGCTCAGCGGCTGAATGATTTGTAGACTTTCTCTTTCTTGGCCATAATAAAGGAGAATGTTTACCTACTCCGTGTGTTGGAAAGTTTGCAGGATTGATTTGGTTTTCATTTTAATGTTGTTTATCATTAGTGCTGGGATTACCCCCCTGGCTTCATCTGGGAGTCCATTAGCAGTAATGGGTGTTAGCGGATGTTGACTGATTGGTGCTTGCGTGAGTTCTGATGATAGCTGCAGTCATGGTGACATAATGAGACTGTTATTGGCAATCATTCCATTCTGGCACTAATGCGGATTCACAGCACCAGTCTATGTAGCCCCTTCCTCTTACAGAGGCTCTCTGCAGTGTAACACATGCCATTAAGGCCATGCAAGCTAAACATCACCCTGATTTCTCTGAATGCTTGCCCTCAAATGTGGAGAGGCTCTGTACGTTAGGATTTCATGATGAATAAACTACATTCTCTTGTTTGTCTGCTCAGGTTTCCAACTGGTTTGGGAATAAGAGAATCAGATACAAGAAAAACATTGGTAAGTTCCAAGAAGAAGCCAACATGTACGCTGCGAGAACTGCCGTGAATGCGGCTAATGCATCCTCACATGGGAGCCAAGCAAATTCACCCTCAACTCCAAACTCTGCAGGTGAGACAGGAAGTCCCTGGCTCTGCTCAGCTTTTAGCCATGTACCTCCTCTCTTTGCATTACTCCAACTCAGCGACTTTTGCAGTACATCAGTTTGAGGCCATTTCAGTGCTGGTGCAGGTGATTTGTAAGGAATGAAAGAGTTAAGACTAACAAAAAAAGGCAGTTCTTGTGCAAGGAACGTGCCTATCACCTGGGAATGCACCATTATTTTATCAAACAGGTCCATTTAACAACTACCCCATTAGAACAAAGCTGTGTCAGAGATTAGCCAACCTGAGCCCCACGCCAAGTCTCCTTTCCTCTTCATGTCAATTAACCATATTCCTCATGTATGACTATTTCAATTCTGTCTTCATCTTGTACTTCTGGCATTTTAATGATATTCTTTACTCTTCTCTTATTGTCAACAGATCTCATAAAACATAAACACAATTAATTTACTTCAAGTACTATCACATGTACCGGTACATAGCCCTATTCCTTTGTGCCATAGAGCCAAAGTGATATTATAATTATGAGTTGAACTTGCTGACGTGTTTTATTAAGTCCATCATATAGGCTTTGTAAACATATTTGAGGAGTAGGACCAGCCATGAACTAATCAACAACAAATTGCATTTTTAACATTTTTGCTTTTTATGAGACTTGTTGACAATAAAATAAGATCAAAACAGAGAACATTTTAACCTCATCTTTCAAACAGTCCTTCAGTTTCAATATTTGCTGTCTTGCCAGGAGTCAGAACAGGGGTATGTTTAGCCTAGCACGGAGCAAAAAATGAAATATAACATCAATAAAATATCATAATATAAATACACTTATAGAATTTTAATGATTTATTTGCACATTGTATTATCTTTGAGTGACCAAAAAGATTCATAACTTCTGCAAGTTGGAAAAGGGTAAATATTGGAAGACGCGTTTGACACATTTAAGAAAGCTAAGCTAGCGGTTTTGCCTGGGTTCTGTGCTTGTTCTAAGCTAGGCTAAACACACCCTGAGCCTACTCTGGTGCTCTATTTAAAATGTAAATTCTATGATAATTAATTAATCCTTATAATTATGTGACAGTTTTACCTTTGGTGAGACAGCAACATGTAGCATTTGGACTGCTTATTCAATTTCCCCCTGCATCTTGGTTTAAGCTTAGCCTTGAATAACCTTTAAAAAGCATAATTTTACAAATTCTTCTTAAATATCTATGTCTTGGGGTGAAAACCACTTGACAAAAGCCCTTCTTGTGTTAGGCTACAGATTTATATTTCCTATGTCCTTCATTTGTTTCCTCTTGGCTCCATTTCTCTCAGCTAACAGAGCCTGTACGGCTGCTAGCTAACTTCTGCATGTTGCTCAAACTTGCTTTAGCCTGCTTGCTCCCTGTCTCTCTGTGATTCGACTGCTCCCTCTCTCCTTTTAGGTTCTGCTGGCTCTTTTAACATGTCAAACTCCGGGGACTTGTTCATGAGCGTGCAGTCTCTCAATGGGGACTCGTACCAGGGGGCTCAGGTGGGAGCCAACGTGCAGTCACAGGTAGGGTGGCTAGCAGCGCAGCAGATAATACAGGGACAGACCTACTTAACTTCCCAATAGGTGTTTCTTAAAGCAGATATTTTGACTTGTCATATGAAGGTGTAAATAATTAGATAAATATGAATTGATTTATCAGTGTTTTATTATAGAAATAACATTTTTATTGAGGTAATCAGCTTGCTTTTAAGTTTCTGAAAACCATGTTATTAGTATTCCGTTTTTTTCTTTCTATTAATTAACCTAATGAAGGCTTTTTGTCAAAGAAGTAAGACTGCCAAGCTACCAGTAGTGATAGCCATCTTGGATAAGTGGGTTAATTCTTTAGAGTGTGCAGGAACCATTTCCTGTTTGTCCTAATCAGCCAACATTGTTACTGCTAATGAATGAATATAATCTAAATATTACCAGCCTTGCTAGCATGAACAAGCGCTTGTTTGTCTAATGAAACCAAAGGTGCCACTTTGTTTCTAGTGATTAATTTCAAACCCTGTAATTCTGAACTCGATCCAGTTTTCATCCCTGAAAGAAGGGCTAACAAACAGTTTGAGAACCGTTAGCATACCAAAGTGGAACAAAGCCATCATAGATGTTGAATATACTGTATACCTCTGCTTTCCCTGCTATGACAAATCAAAATGTCTGTCGCGAAACAGGACCAAACTGGCTTCTACAGGCTCAGCTATAGCACTTTTAGACAGTCTCAAGGGCAGAATGTGTGAATAGTTTTTATTTCAGCAAGTGAAAACCAAACATTTTCATCCTGAATCACCCTTTTGTTTGATGGACCTTGTTTTCTCTAAGGATATACTCACAGCAGTGTACTCTTGTTGTCTCTCTTGTTGTCTTGTCATCCCTCCCTCTTTTCTTTTGTGTTGACTCTGACCTTGCTTTGTTTGTTGTTTCTGAATGTTTCAGGTGGATACCCTTCGCCATGTTATCAGTCAGACAGGCGGATACAGTGAAGGACTCACAGCCAACCAGATGTACAGTCCGCAGGGCATCAATGTAAGGATTCTTTTTTTTGTCTTCCTCTCCCTACCAATTATTTTGAAGCCATAGGGCTCAGAATGCCACTTAGTAGGACTTGTCTCTGCTCCATGGTCACCTAGTTGATTCTTTCTGTATCGCTCGTGCCATGGGCAGCACACTGCCCGTCTTACGCAGGCATGGGGCCGGCTGCACACATGCAGAGCCTCCGTCTGAGCTTGTCACGTTGGATCAAGTCTGGCGCAGCACCTGCAGCCACGTACAATCTGCCATGAGCGAACTGCACAAACAGGTGACACCTCTTGCTCTGGACTTCAAATCCCTCTGACCACCTGACCCATGATTAGCAGCCCAGAGGCCAGAAGCTCCCATTAAAGCCTCCCAGGAGACAACTGCTGTCCCGCTAAAAATAAAACCTCACGCCGCTGGAAACAAGTCCTCATGTGCCATAGGGGCGTGTTCCCCTCATGTTTGTCTTATTTTGAAGCAGAGTTCGGGTAAAGAAGTGGGGGTTGTGAAGGGGGGGGGAGGTTGGGGGTTTTGCTTGCTGGCGGCTGCAAACAGTAGGGAAATTCACAGCGACAAGCCGTGTCGTAAAGGGGAAAATCGATAAGACAGACACAAGGAGAGCAGAGTGTGGACTTGGGACAGCAATCCAAGCGCATTGCTCAGATCATGTTCCTGCCACACTAATGGCCCTGACAGCGAGCCGCGCTGAGAGGACGAGGACGGTCACAGCCGCGGCTGGGTTCCTCCGCTGTCGTCGTCGTGCCTCAGTGGCCATATGATAATCAGATGAAATGTCTCCCGTAAAAAAAACATGTATGTGTATTCAAATAGGCTTCCTGGCTGCTCTGAGCTCATCCCACAGCCAGCTGTGCTAACCCTGAGAGGCCGCTAACGTATTCAGGCCCTGTTCTTTCTCAGTCCTTTGACCTCGCAGATACGGTTCTCCTTGGACGCCTGCTTGCTCTACCACATCTTACACTGCCACAATATGCTGTGTTATTCACTTTTCTACCCTGTAAAGAAGCCCCGCAATGCATAATGTAAGAGCGGGATATCTGCCTGGCAGGCTGTTTGCCTGTGATTTATGTAGCTCCGGAAAGTGAGTTTGGAATTTGGCTCTTTCACTCGTTTTTTACGACAATATGTGCTCCTCAGAGTTGTTTGATTTATTTATTTTTTGAATGGTATTTTTTGCCAAAATGTGTAATCCTAAACAGTGTACACATTTATCATTATTTTTGGCCAGTTTAAGGTCACAGAGAAGCACCGTGTCGGTTCAACGACAGACAGCTACGGTTTCTTTTTCTCTTTTTTTACTGAGTTAGATTTAAAAGTGCACATAAGCCTTAAAGTCCCCTTTAATCTTCAAGTGGATTCTCAATTTAAAAACGCGGAGAAACTCTGTCGGTTTTTCAACAAGAGCTCGCTTCATATTTAAAAAAAAAAAAAAACGGTTTCCCAAACACCTGCAAACAGAATTTATAAGTGAAGCACAGAAAACATGATAAGAGAGTTGAAGGAAACATATTTTGTGAGCTACCTGGTCTGTGTAATGACTGAGCGGATACATAATGCATGTTGGGGCTGATTACAGTTGCAATTACAACGTTAAAAGAGGCAGAGCGTCACCAAAGTCAGACATTCCCCAGTCCGACCCCTCCATTTTTGATTACACACTTGTGCCTTAAATAACAGGCTTTGAAATGAAAGGCTGTCGAGGACCATTTCCAGTTTTCCTGATGGCTTTAAAATGACTATTAATATCCTAAATGCTCTCTAACAGCTCTTTCTTTGGCTGTGGAGACGCCGTGTGCAGCTCTTATTGTATGTTAATTCTCGCTGTCAGCTGCATAATTAGTGCACGACATTGATTGCACTTGTTTTGTTTCCGAGGTCTTTTCATACCATTTACATATATTCTCCATGTTATTTGTAAAGGCCGTGACAGGCGTTTATTTCAACAGTATAAAAAAAAACCTTGTTCAGTTTGACTTTTCTTCTCTTTATTTTCTTCATTATTTGAATTTCAGGGTGCAATGTATGATGGGTAGAGACTGTAATTCACTCCATTTCTGCTTGGTTGAAATTTTTACTTTTTCATGCCAGTCTTATCCAGAGATATTAGCTGTAATTTGAGCGAGGTTAGCTTTTCCCTGCAATCCAGGAGGCAATTTAGCTTAAGGCAGTGTGGGGAAAGTATCCCAGCATGCCACACAGCGCTCATAGACTACCTTGCCCTCAGGACTTCCATTCGTTGTACCTCTCTGTGTTTGACCCAGCTGCAGTGAATAATGAATATGAACGTAATAGACTCACCCCCCTCCCCTCCCTCTCCCCTCCTCTCTGCTTCTCTCTTTCTTTCTCTCAGGCAAACGGTGGCTGGCAGGATGCTCCGACCCCCTCATCAGTGACTTCACCCACAGAAGGACCCGGAAGCGTTCACTCTGACACCTCCAACTGATCCTCCACCCCCCCAACAACCCCCACCCTCCCCTCCCTTGACTTTACCCTGTTCTCTGCTTCCCTCCACCACTGCACCCCCAGCCACATCTTCAAAAACTAAAACCCCAAAGGGACTGGATGTGACGTACTGTTTGTAGTCACACAGCGGGACACAGTTGGGGTCTGGGATGACGTTTTCCCCCTAACGGACGAATATTTCACTTTTCCTATCTGGACCATGGCAGCACCGTTAGCCGCCTGCGTAGGGGACTCATATCCACACTTCACAGTTTGTACAGTTTCCACTTGATGTCCATGTTGCCTCTTTGTATTTTCTTTAACATGATATACTCACACAGTAGGCACACAGCTAGCAGCATAATACCCCACATGTCTTGTAAATTGAGATGCTTTCACTCTACCTCTATTGGAAATAACGACAGGAAAAAAAACAAACATTTTGAATGCTTTGGATTGAAAACGTTTTATAATAATTGGGATTCTTCTGTACACCACACCATGCCCTTTATTTTCTGTGTTTACATTTTGTTGATCTATCGTGCCAAAGTTCAACCCTGGAGGTGAATTTCGATAATATTACATTTCATGCTTTAATGTCAGGTCCTTACATCTTTCATGCAATAACTTAGTGAAGTCTAATTATGTTAGTCCAGTAATATCTAAAATGTTCAACCTCAATTTGTATTCTTTGTATTCAGAACCTCTACAACACTGACATTTGATGAGTGGGTTTCCTGCTCACGATTCACCGTTTTTACACAAGCATTCACAGAAATGAGCGCAGAGAGGGTGGAGTTGTGTCCTGCATGTTGGCTGCTTTCACCTTATTCAAAGACAAATCCACTCATAACATGAAATCAATGAAAACTGAAGCAGGAATCGCAGCACGTCGATGACTATTAAAGCACAATAACACCACCGTCGAGGGTTGGGTTTTGTAATTGTCCAAGAGACAAACAATGCAGAGGACATTTTTACTGTGGTAGTCATACATGGAAGAAAGAGAGTGTACATAGGGTGCATCTGTGGGACATCAACAGTGTGTATCAGTGAGGTCATTATAGCCAAATACTGCTGGTAACCAAATCCAATACAACAATTGTAATTTTGATTTTAAGGTTCAGAGTTTTGTTGTCGGGATTAAACGCTGGCATGTCTTTTCTCATCTTACTTTGCTTTCATGGAGTTATATTTGGGTCATAATCCTGAGAACACAATGATCAAATTATTCTACACATGAGAAGAATCACTTTGAAAATTATACTTTGAATGCAAGCGGAACGTTTTTTTTTTTTTTGTATGTGTGTTTGTGTTAAAAATATCCTCCTGCACGCTCATGGATTTTGGCACAAATATGACTCCATACATGTTCAGCCAAAAATCCAGAATTAAAGGTTACATCACCCTGTTCATCTGATAACATTAGTGGGAACATTTGTATGTTTCAATACTTGTTTTATTTCACAGTGTCACTCAAAACGACACGTCCATCAACACGAAGCGATCCAAAATGTGAAATTAAATTTGTTGTATGTACAGTCTAGTTTGTGGTCTAACATGTAGACATGATTAGTCCTCATTAGATATCAGCAGTTACATTCTTTGATACCAAAAAAGGAAAAAGGCAGAGTTTATATCCTCTACATTGGGATCAGCTTTACGGACACATTTTTTCTTTCCCCTCTTTTCTGTACTAACGAGCATCTCTCAGTGCTCTGGTGCTCTGTATTCAACGCCCAACTATGCTGTTTGAAAACAGAGGTGTTTATAGAAACAAAAACTCTGATGGCACACAAATCCAGATACTGTTTGGATAGATTTTTACGTCTCAATTTTGTGAATAACTTGTGCTTCTTCTTCTTCTTCTTTTTTTTTTTCATTTGATATTACATTGCTTTGCTACTTTGGATATGTTTCTTATTTGATGCTACCATTATATGTGAATTAGCCCAAGAATGCTCTATATACAGTATGTAGATATGCACCTTTACTCCTTTTTTTTAATTTCATTTGAACAGTAAACATTTTTAGCACAGCATAATGGAGTTCCTGTCGGATCGATGGGGGAAATCTGGGACATTTCTTTTGTACTCAGACAAACCTGAACGAGTCTGCATCCGGGATGGCTGCCGTCTGAATCACGGTGACATGAAACGTCAGCGTTAACGTCGATCTTTGGCTTTGTTTTTAGTGTGGTGGTCACTGACAGAGAGTCAAAATGTAATCCCACGATCCAAACGAGTCTCAGTGCAGCCTGAAAACCAAGCAGAGGTATTTTTTGAACAGTTGTCAGTGTGTTTGTATTTATTACACATGTGTGAGATCATGGATGTTTCAGAGCTTCGTTGTGGAGGACAACGGCATAATTACACCAGACAAACCCATACGGATCATTCAGAGCAGCTCCTACTCGACCCCCCCCCTCCCGGCCCCCTGCTCAGTATTACAGTCGAGGGGCCGAGCGTCATTGAAGTGATACACAGAACCTGCCTCAGTCGTGTCTTCTGAAGTCACTGGAGTGAACTGACAGCACCGGCCATGCAAGGCAAACACAAGGATTGTTTTTGCACCCCTTCAACAAAAAAGAAAAAAAAAGGCTTAACTCTACTTTTCACATTGCCTGTCAAATATTACCGAAGCTTCATGTAATGACGCTTTTTAGTTTTTGAATATAAAAGGAAAAGAGACATGAAAAGAAAAATGAACAATTTGTAAAACATGAAATGTTTTATTTGTTGCATGTCCTTTTTGTTCTTCAATAAAAAAAAAAAAAAAAACGTACTGCAGTGTTTTGAATGTTAACTTCTTTTTTATAAGGATTGAAAATCGTGGAGCCTTTTTCTTGACAGGTTTGAACTTTTAAGATCTCTGCGTATGTAAAAAGGTATCAAATGGAAAACTTGTCTTTTTCATTCCAATTCAAAACCTGTTTTCTGTGAAGAAAAAATAGCTGAAAGGTGTAGGTTTTATGGTCTCTTAATTTGTACTGGCAATGCGTATCCCAAATAAATCGTTTCTTTTGTTGCATAAATTGCAGTTTTGTGGTTTTTCATGCCAAGTTTTGTGAGCTTCTTGGCTGAGATTCATCTCAAACTTGTGTGTGGTTTCTCCTCCAGACTTTTGTAACAGGGTCAGGGTCAGGAGTCACTGTAGGACACGAGTTTACACATTGTTGACTTGTCAGTCCAACACCTCTGGATAACATTGCACATCTCACTTCCAACTATGCTACGGCACGCAGGCATTTTATCAACACTAACACAGCACCGGAGCTCGGCCGAGCTGACGAGGGTGTGAAGGGGACATTTTCACAGTTTTTGAAGTGAGTGAAAGCTGTGCGCTCCCAGCAGACAGACACCCCTCACCCCCCTCCCCAACACCCAGCGCTCCCTCCGAGGCATGGTTAATGTGCGTTCCCTGAAAGAAGCGGAATCCACACTTATCTCTCTCCTCCAGATAAACCAGACAGGATGTCTGATTCTGCTCCTACGATTCATCCGTTCCTGGGAGAAAAAAAAAAAGAAAACAGGAGGAAAAATGGTTGAAACATTAACTTGTGGATTAGAAGGAAAAAAATAAAAAAAAGGTTCCCAGGAGCATCCAAAATCAGCGAGCGTGACAGAGACTGTGGGAGTGACATATGCAAACATGATCAAGTGTAATTACATGGAGAAGCCTCCTTGTTTCTATCAAAGGGGCTTCTTTTAGCCACTGTGTGAGGAATGAAAGGCAAGAAGTGCTGGACGTGTGTAATTTATTCATGCGCTCCTGCAAACCAAAAGGCATTGTGAGGCTGATTCAGTCATTACATGGTGAAAAGGTGTAAATCCCATTCTGAGTCAAATCAGAGAGCGTGCTTTTGAATTTCTGAATTCCTCTCACAAATAGGCTGGATCACACGCAGCGCCATGATGAATGCTATGGAGGTTTTTAAGGAGAATATACTGATCATTATCCACAGAATGAGCCTTGTCCTGACAGTTTCTTCACATGCATTCACTCTTAAATTCAGCTCATGGCTTTACTCAGTTTCAAAAATGTACAGGAACCATTTGGCAGGTGTTAATGTTTTGATGCTATAAATTCAGCATATTCCCAATATGTGTATTTGTTTATGTGTCTGCATGTAATCCTATATACATATAATCTTTTCCCAATCAATCAGTCAATCATTATTTGTGCAGCACCAATTCATAACAAGTGTTACCTTGAGACGCTTTACAAAAGCGCATATGGGCTAATATGAAGGATTTCTCCTTTTTGTATTCATCGCCTTCCTGTTGTCTGCACTTGTTAGTCGTTGAGGTGGAGGTCGGAGCAGGACGTGCATGAATGAGGACGGCGGTGGTTGTGGGGACGACACAGTCCGATGGTGGTTTAATGTAATCAGTATGTTTTGTGCATAGTAAAAAAACAGGTTATGTGAACCTTCAGTCGCTCACATTGACGGTAACCACCAGGTTGGGTGGCTCAGCATGTTGTACTTACTAATGATCATTTCAAGTACTAAACCAATAATGACAATCAGAATTGTGATTGTATTAATGATGGTTGTGATGATATTTTACATGGTAAATGGACTTGAGCTTGTATAGTGCTTTTCTTCTTCTGACTACTCAAAGCGCTTTTACACCGCAGGTCACACCTACACATTCACACACTGATGGTAGAGGCTGCTGTGTAAAGTCTCCATTGGGGTTTAGTGTCTTGCCCAAAGAGACATCGGACATGTAGCTGCAGGAGCTGAGCCACAGCTGCCCCATCATCACCTGATGGTAACGATAGTGATAATACTTCTTCTTCTTGTTATAGTAAAAATGGAAAAACTCAATTTAATTTATACCAGTGATCTCTACCATCAGTAGGTCATCAGATGACCCAGAACTGGTCGTTACACTCTGCTGTCAGTGCACTGAATACATCAGATCATTAAAGTTACCAGGTGCTGTCCTTATTGTGTAACTGTGTTTTATCATGTCTGTTATTGACGTAAAGTCATGTGTATGATGTAAGTTGTT